GCGGAGGAGGAGGAAGAGGAGGAGAGGAGAAGGGATGAGGGGAAGAGAGGAGGAGGAGGAGGAGGAGGAGGTGGAGGAGGACGAGGACGAGGAGGAGGAGGGAGGAGGACGAGGGAGGAGGAGGAGGAGGAGGAGGAGGAGGAGGAGGAGGAGGAGGAGAGGAGGAGGAGGAGGAGTCAGGAGAAGTTTGAGGAGGAGGAGGAGGAGAAAGAGGGAGGAGCAGGAGGCAGAGGAAAAGGAGGAGGAGGAGGAGGATGAGGATGAGGAGGAGGAGGAGCAAGGCTCCCAACTGAGAGCGGTGACCTAGCACGCGCTTCCCAGCAAGGCTCCCAAGAGCGAGCGGTGACGTAACAAGCTCTTACCACCAAGGCTCCCAAAATCGAGCGGCAACGTTAGCATCGCTGGGCACGAGGACTCTGAACAGAGAGCGGTGCCGCAACAAGCTCTTCCCAGCACGGCTCCTAACAGAGAGCGGCGACGGAACACGTGCTTACTAGCAAGGCTCCCAAGAACGAGCGGCGACGCAACAAACTCTTGGCACCAAGGCCCAAGAACGGGCGGCAACGTAAAGTCTCTGAACCCCAAGGCTCCCCACAGAGAGCGGTGGCGTAACTAGTTCTTAACACCACGGCTCCCAAGAGCGAAGGATGCCACGAGCCCTCCCGGGCAGGTTGCTGCAGCGCTCTTTCCGTTTCCGTGCCGGCCCCTGGTCTGATGGCCCCCATGTTTGACAATGTTCGGCCCAAGAACGCCCAAGTCAGAGAGGTCCTCAAGACGCTCCAAGAGGTCCCCCAGAGAAGCTCCAAAAGGCAACAATCTACCCATTTCCTTCGGAAGACGTGCATTTTTAGGTTATTCGCTTCTTCGGTCTTCACAGCGCCCAAGACGGCCCAAGAGGCCCCGAAGACCGCCCCAAGACGGCCCAAGAGGCCCCCAAGAGGGCCCGAAGACGGCCCAAGTGGGCTCCAAGACGGCCCAAGAGAGCCCCATCTCATCGTGATTCAAAACTCCCTGACCTTAGCCTCAGGATGGGGGCAGGGAGGTGGGGGGGCCAGATGTGGGTGGAATCGCGACTCCGAGAGCAGAGGAAGAGGGGGCCATGAAATCGAAGGAGAGTGCCATGGCCCCAGCCATGATACACACAACACACAGACACACACACACACCTCCCTGGTCACCACGCCACACTAGGACGCCCGCCCCTCCTGGCCCTTACCTTTTTTCAGAAACTCCGCCCCAACCAAAAATAGAGTCCCGAACCGGCAGCGGCGCGGTGGGGCAGGCGACCGCGTGTCTCTGATGGGCCACGCACGCGGCGACACCGGCAGCAGCGCCTGTTCAGAAGCGGACAGGAGTTGCTACAATGGAGGGGAAGAAAACGGGGAACATGACCAAGACTGACCGCGGAGACGTGGTGTCGATCTTGGTAACCGTCGATCTTGGTCAGCGTCAACTCGTGAACCGTCCTCATGAATTGGCGAAGGCCGACACGGACCAAAGATCGGCATCGACAAAATCCTGCGACATCTTGATCATGGCCCCCGTAATTCGGCCTTGGTCGGCTGCACGCAAGAGTGACCCTGGGCAACGATGACCTCTGGTGCGCGGCTTGCTGACCGTAGCGTGCGATGCGACAGCAGCAGCCTGTGCGCATGGACTTGGAACCCCTGCGCTGCCAAAAAGCCGCGCTCCAAAGGTCACTCTGGCAACGGATTTCTCTCACGTTAGAGGGCTCCCAAATGGGGTCCGAGCAGATAGGGTCGGAGGATCGCGCTGCACCATCGATGCATCGTCAATGCGTCGGCGGCGTCGGAGATGCTTCGGCGATGTCGGCGCGGAGAAAATCGGGCTCCACATCGAGCCGCATCGCCGATGCATCGGCAATGTGGCGTGATCCTCCGCCCCTGTCTTTGGACGCCCGAATTCGATACGAAAAAATTGGGTGCGATGCCCAACAACACATGTTGTCCGACACCGACAGCGGCCGCTGTTGGGCAAGCGGCCTTCTATCTCACATTGCCAGCGTCTGCGGTGACACCGACAACAAACCCTGTTCAAAATGAACCAACCGGACATGCTGTCGGTCTTTGCACCCATTCTTTCCGTACCCATCCCGATCGTCCCGACCATCTACTCTCGGCGGTGGACAAACATCCCTTTAGCAAACCACCCCTTAGTGAAAACGGCCTGGGACCGAAACCGACGGACCCGGACCCGCAGAAGTGACGGCCGCGACGCCCTCTCGCGAACCGAAAACGGCCAATTCGCTAATCGACGTGTCAGGGTACTCCGGATTCCATAACAAAGTGGGGGGGGTCACATTCGAGGGGGGTCTAATTTGAGCTGTCTTGGAGGGTTCGGGGGGGGTCTGGGCAAAGGGCCACCCTTTGATAGATAGTCTGGGGGGTCTGGGAGGGTTGTGACCCCCTCGCTTTTATTACGAAATCTGGAGTAGGAGGTCTGTTCAACCCCGATACTCGGACCCCATCTGGGAGGCCCA